GAGCCGGCGCCCGCGGCGCCAGGACATGCGCGTCCGCATGTTTTTGTTTTTTTTGTTTTCTCTCTCTCTCTCTCTCTCTCTCTCTTTTTTTGTTCTCTCTCTCTCTCTCTCTCTCTGGGCTCCTGTTGTCGGGGGTTGACAGAACCCCCACCTTGACACGTCGATTAGTGAATTGTCCGTTTTCGGTTTTCGAGAGGGCGCCGCGGCCGTCATTTTCCAGGCTTGCGCCCGCCAGGTTTGGGCTCGAGGTCGTTTTCACTAAACCACGTTTTACTAAAGGGGGGTCTGTCCATCCCCGATGTTCTCTCTCTCTCTCTCTCTGGGCTCTGTTGGGGATGCACTGCGGTGCGCCTGGCCTTCTTCGCGCAGCGGCGTCGTGCTAAAGTCGTCGCCACCTGCCTGCGCGCCGTCCTCCACACGGGGCTTGGTGCCGTCGGCCGTGCCCCAGGGTGTGAACGCGCAGTTAGCCCTATACATTTCCTTGCCGCGCTCTGCCAGGGAGTGCTGTTCCGTGCGCTCGCAAGCCCGGCGCTTGCGCGGACCTGCGGTCCGAATATTTGCGGCTGTTCGCTCTCTGTCTCTTAGTCTCTCCCTCTCTCTCTCTCTTTCTATCTCTGTTGTTTCGTACTATCCCTCTCCCTCTCTCTCTCTCTCTGTTTTTTGGGTTTGGGTGGGTGGTTGGGTGGGTGGTCGTGGGTGGGTGGGTTGTTGTTGTTGTTGTTGTTGTCGTCGTCGTCGTCGTCGTCGTCGTCGTCGTCGTTGTTGAACATTATTAATTCTAAAGAATAATTATTGTTGGGACCCCTGGTGCACGGCCCCCCTGCGCCGCCTAGGCCGCAGCTACATTTTCATCATTTTCGTGAGGAAGCCTCAGGTAATTCGATGTGATCAAGATCCGGTTGTTTTGTTCCCCCCCGCTTTCCCTTGCAAAAAACACTATAAAATGACATTTCTTGTTCTAATATAATCAAATTTCAAGAATCCCTTGCAAAAAATAAGGTAAAGTGGACATTCGCGCGCGCAAGACGAAATCCTTCCAAAAGCTTAGTGTTCGGAGCGATTTTAACATAAAAACATCAAAAAACCAATGGTTTTTCAACAAAAAAATGTCAAAATCTCATCCCGCGCGCTCTTGCGGATTCGTAGGAAACCCAACACTTTTTAAACATTTCTGTCAAACGGGCTTTTGCGAGCAACTTTTTCGAACTTCTGCGACAACGGTTGCGCACCTGCCAGGGCCATCATCCCTGTCAAATAATACCATGCGGGACACATTCGTTTTTTCTTCGCGCGCGCACGCCGAAATCTCCAAAAACCATGCGGGACAACCATATCCTCTCTCTCTTGTGTATTCCCACATCCCTCAGGAATTTGCCCTAAAGATGTGATCAACTATCTTGTGAGTACGTATCATGTGTATCATGTGTATCATGTACCATATGCATCATATGCAACAGATGTTCTGTGGAAGGCTTAACAACTTCTGTGGGTTAACAAGGCTTAACAACTTCTGTGGGTGTACGAACGTAGGCTTAACAACTTCTGTGGGTGTGTACTCCACGCCAGTGTAGTAGCCACGGTCGTCCGCAGGCCACGAAGTGAAGTGTCCGAACGTCATAGGGCGGGAAGCTGGGTGTGGGTGGTGGCGAAGAGTCGTGTGGATATTTGGTAGAGCTTGCACTGCCCCCCCACAAAGTGGGGGTATTGGCTGGCGTCGCATGAAAACCCTGGCACTGGTGAGAACACTGAGCGTTCGGGTAAAGTGATTGTTGTTGTTGTTGTTGTTGTTGGTGGTGTTGTTGTTGCTGCTGTTGTGATTGTGGTTGTGGTTGTGGTTGTTGTGGTTGTTGTTGTTGTTGTTGTTGTTGTCGTCGTCGTCGTCGTCGTCGTCGTTGTTGTTGTTGTTGTTGTGTTTGTTGTTGTTGTTGTTGTTGTTGTTGTTGCGGTTGTTGTGGTTGTTGTTGTTGTTGTTGTTGTTGTTGTGGTTGTTGTTGTTGTTGTTGTTGTCGTTGTCGTTGTCGTTGTCGTTGTTTCGATGTTGTTCTTTATTTATGTACACATATAGATCTCTCTCTCTCTCTTCCTTTCTCTGTTTCTCTGTGTCTCTCTCGCTCCCGCATGCGCACTTCAGCCCTCCCTCACCTTTTCGCTTCCACGCACAGCTTGCGTACCCCCCCCTTCCGTCCGCTCCTCCCTCCTCTGCGCTCCCCTCGTCCCCCCCCCCTTCCTCAAACTCCCGCCTTCCTCCCTTCCACCTTCCTCCCTTCCCCGCCTCTCCCCTCTCGCTCGCCCCCCCCCCCTCCCATTCCCCTCCGCCCCGCCTCGCCTTCCCCCTGCTCCCCCACGCCCCGCCCCTTCCCTGCCCTCCCCTCTCTTCCATCCTCCTTTCCCTCCACTCTTCCCTCCACTGTCCCTTCCCTCCCGCCTCCTTGTTCCCCTTCCCCTTCCTCCTTCCTCCCCCTCTCCTTTCGTCCCCCGTTTTTGTCGAAACTTATTTTGTCACTTCGGTGGCAGTGGGGTGTGCTCGAGCTCGCTAGCTCGTCTACTTGGTTCGGGGTCGCCATGTTTTTTGTTTGTTTGTTTTGTGTCCACGAGCTTCCCGTCGCTATGTTGAATGACGGCTACTGCTACCATTATTGCTTGTACTACTTCCGCCGCTACATCCGCTACAGGCCTACCGCCACCAATGTATGCCATGATTAGACCTGGTTTAGTTGAAACTCGACCATGTAACAATGCTACGACAGGCACTCGTTACACCTATTGGCGTCGCGCCATCCCAATTGCCAGCCCCGTTTGAGTGTGTATCAGACAAGGCAATGCGTACTGCATCCATGCGGGAGGTTCGGGTAATCCAGCCCCAACTCAGTTATCACAGGCAACACGCTGTCACATGGCACTTCATCGCTTTGATTTGCTTTGCATTGAGTTGAATGGGTTTGCTTTGCTTTGGAGTCCAGTGCAGTGCATCATTTTGCGTCCACATCTTCGGCCAGAAACTCATTTCTTTGCACTATTTCCGTTGTTTTGCAATGACTTGAGTTGCTTTGTTTGTGCATTATTTTGCATGGCCTTGCTTTGAGTCGCATTGCTTTGCAGCGCATTACACTTGCATCGCGCTCGTACTATCTTCGACTTACTTTCACGTTGCATTCGCATCGCATCGCATTGCATTCGCGCTGCATTCGAAGGTCTCGACATTACGTTGCGCTATGCACTTGCGTTGCGTAGCTCTGCGTTTCTTTTCAGATTGGTAGACCCTCAAGGGCACCCCCGAGGAGCTACAACGGCGCCTGCTGAACGGACACGACTGGAGATGACCGTTGCCGCCGGGCATACATAACCTCTCGGGCAGAGCCGACTTGAACAAGAGCATTCGGGAGGGGTTACAGAGTATCAAGGAGACCAGCGTCGTCTTCAAATTGTGAGTGTGACCCATTTCTCCTTGTGCAAGTACCCAACAAGTCGTCAACGGAAACATTCTGATGCGGTCGTCCGGCCGGCGTGATTTAGTTTTGGTTTTACTTATTTTCAGAGGTTTGCACCATTCCGCCGACTCCAAAGGAACAACGAAGTGCACGGGTGAGCCCTCTTGGGGCCGTTGTGATTGTTTGGAGGGCATTCTGGGTGTCTTAGGTCTTAGGGGTCTCTTGGAAACCATTTGGGGGGCTTGATTGGGCCCTCGGGGGCGTCGCTTCGGGTCTTCTTGGGCCTGCTGGCGGTGTCCGGGGTCAGTTTGGGGCGCATAGCTCGAGATATCAGTTCGGGTTGCCCCTCTTGAGTCTCTCTTGAGGCCCTGCTGGGGCCCTCTCTGGCCATCTTGGGCGACTCTTGGGCCGTCTTGGGGGCTTCTTGGCCTGTCTTGGAGCGATCTTGGGGGCCTCTGGAGCAGTCTTGGACGCTGATGAGACCGAAGAGGCGGCGAACATGCTAGAAACTGAAATTTTCCAAGGGGATTGGGACGATTTGTTTGCCTCTTGGGGCTTTCTTGGGGGTCCTCTTGGAGCCCTCCTGCGGCTTCTTGTAGTTAGGCCACTTGGACAGTCTTGAGGACATCTTGCTTGCTTTGGGGCTGTCCTCAGCGTGTTGGAGCCCAGCTCGAGCTAGCTGAGATGGCATCTTGGGCATCTTGGAGTCCACAGATGTGGAGGCTCCAGAGACCCCAGGGGCGCGTTTAGGAGCCCGCCCCCCCCCCTTCCTTAAACGCGATTGTGGGCCCTTGGGGAGGGGGACAGCCAAATGCCTCACACGCCCTGGCGCCCCCGGCAAGGGGGCGTCGGCGGATTTTCTCTCCGAGTCATTGGCCGAAAGCGGGGCGGCCTGGGGGCCTGTGCAAACTAGGCCGGGCCGCTCCGACTCTTGAGCTGGGGGCCGCGTGCTGTGGGCTTTCGTCGCCAGGCAAGTCCAGGATTGAAAATGTATCGCTTCGTCCTCGTCCTCGTCGCTGTCGTCGTCGTCGGCCGATCCATCGAGCGATCGAGGCTCGGGGTTCGGGGAGGCCTTGTGAGGGCACGGCCTCCACAGCATGCCCTAATGGGCACGGGCGACGTCCCCGAGGGAGGTTTCGCGACTCGGGCGTTCGCTTCGCTTCGCTCGTCCTCCGTCCAGACCGGCCACAGTCGAGGAGGCCGTGCCCCGTGGAGCCCATCGGCGTTCCTCTCGAGAGATTGTTGGTTTGATGGGATCCGCCAGGGGTGCGGGCAAGATTTGTATCCATATCCATTGCGTCTGAGACTCTCTGGGAAGGGACGCCACGAGGCCGAGGCGCAGTGGATCTCGTCTCAACTCTGGCCCCCCCGGAGGGGCCAGACCTCTGTACACATGTCCACTGCGCGCCTCGAGCTTCCGGGGAAGGGAGCCCGAGACGCCAAGACGCAGTGGGTATGGACGCACATCTTACCCGCTGGGGGGGGGGGGTCGGGAACGCCGCCCCCCAGCTGTGGCTGCTCGCCCGTGGCCGCCCCGCGGCCTCTCGGGCCGAGACGGCCCGCGGCCGCGAGGTGATGCCGCCGCCGCCTACCCAGACCTGGGAGCCCTCGGGCGCCCGCACCGGGATGCGGTCGGCGGGCGCTCGCGGGGTGAGGGGGGCGAGGAGGAGGGAGCCAGGAGGGACGGGGGCAGGGGGAGGAAGGCGGAGGGCGGAGGGTGGGGGTGGGAGGGGGGGGAGTGGCAAGGAGCAGGAGGATGGCGGGGAGGGGGGAGGGGGGAGGGATGGAGTGTGATAGTGGCGATGGTGATGGTGATGGCGATAGTGATGGTGGTGGTGGTGGTGGTCGTGGTGATTGTGATAGTGATGGTGATTGTGATGGTGCTGGTGCTGGTGCTCATGATAATCATGATGACGATGATGATGACGACGATCGTGATGATGATGATGATGATGATGCTGTTGATGATGATGCTTCTGATGATGATTATTATGATTAATATGGTGATGCTGATGCTGATGCTGATGATGCTGATGATGATCATGATGCTGATGCTGATGCTGATGCTGCTGATGATTATGGTGATGAGGGTGCTGATGATGTGGTGATGACGGTCATTCTCATTTGTAAGATTATCATTTCTGTTAATTGTAGTATTAGTATTCATTTTATATGTATTCGTAGTACTTTTATCATATTTACCACTATTCGTATCACTATTACCATTCGCATTCTTAGTCGCACTCGCATGACTCTTATTATTGTAATTCGTATTCGTGATACTATTGTTGCTATCGCTATTCATATGTATTCTTTACATAATGGTTTTATCTTAGTAGTATGATTATGTCATCACTTTACAGTTTTTATTGGCAAGTATGATGCTGACGACGACGATGCTGATGCTGCTGCAGCTGATGATGATGAGGATGATGATGAGGATGATGATGATGCCTATGATGATGCTGATGATGTCGACGATTATGATAATGCAGATGATGCTATCGATGATGCTTCTGCTGCTGCTGATGATGATGATGATCAGGATGATGACGATGCTTAGGATGAAACTGATGATGAAACTGATGATGATGCGGATGCCTGATGCTGATGCCGATGCTGCTGCTGCTGCTGCTGATGATGATGATGGTGATGGTGATGATGCTGATGATGATGATGCTGATGATGATGATGATGATGCTGATGCTGATGCTGATGCTGATGCTGATGCTGATGCTGCTGATGATGATGATGATGATGATGATGATGCTGATGATGATGATGATGATGATGATGATGATGATGATGATGATGATGATGATGATGATGATGGCAACGACGACGACGAGGAGGAGGAAGAAGAGGAGGAAGAGGAGGAGATGGAGGAGGAGGAGGAGGAAGAGAAGGAGGAGGAGGAGGAGGAGGAGGAGGAGGAGGAGGAGGAGGATTATTATTATTTTGATGCTGATGGTGATCGAAGACGCCTACGGCGAATCACCGCCGCCCCCTGCCTTTTTGGAAGCGCCTATGTGGCCGAAGGTTGTGGCCACAGGCCTGCCAAACTATCGGGCCATGTGTTCACCGAATCGGTTTGGAAAGCCTTCGGGGAACACGTGGGCATCTTGAAGGTCCTCTTGGCCGTTCGGGCATCCTTGGAGGACGTCTTGGAGGGCTCTTGGGCCGTCTTGGAGGCCATCTTGAGCGTCTTGGAGGCCTCTTGGGCCGTCTTGGGGGCCTCTTGGGGCCGTCTTGGGCCTCTTGGGCGATCTTTGGGAGCACTTGGGTCGTCTCGGGCCGTCGGAAGGCCGAACAAAAAGCAAATGCCACAATCCTTCAAACTCTCATGGGATATCGATAATTTTGGCCTTTTCGGGCCTTCCTGGGGGCCCTCTTGGAGGCCTCTTGGGTCGTGTTGGGCCATCTTAGTGCCATCTTCGGCCGTCTTGGTGGGCCCCTGGCCCGTCCGACGCCGTCGAAAGCCGTTTGGGGGGCCTCTTGGGCAGTCTTCGGGCCCTCTTGGGGCGGTCTTGGGGGCCTCTTGGGCAGTCCTGAGGCCATCTTGGAGGCCTATTGGGCGCTGTGGGGGCGATCTTGGGGGCCTCTTGGGCCGTCTTGGGTCGTCGGAAAGCCCAAAACGAGCAAACACGAAATCCTTCAATAACCTAAGGAACATCCATGATTTTGGCCTTGTCGTGCCCTCTGGAGGACCTCTCGGAGGCCTCCTGGGCCGTCTTGGAGGCCTCTTGGGCACCTCTTGGGCCGTCTTGGGCCGTCTTGGAGGTTTATTGGGCGGACTTGGAGGCATATCCTCCTCTCTTGGGCGGACTTAGGATGCCATCTTGGACCATCTTGGAGGCCATATTGATCCATCTTGGCCGTCTTGGAGGCCATCTTGGCCGTCTTGGAGGCCTCTTGGGGCCCTCTTGGGGCCGTCTTAGGGGCCTGTTGGGCCGTCTGGGGCTATAAGCCTCGTAGGCGATCTTGGGACGATCTTGGGGGCCTCTTGGGCCGTCTTGAGCCCTCGGAATGCCGAAAAGAGACACATTCCAGAATCCTTCAAAAACCCAAGGAACATCAATGATTTTGCCCTCTTCGGGCCTTCTTGGCGGACCTCTTGGAGGCCTTTTGGGCCGTATTGAAGGCCTCTTGGGCCGTCTTGGACCATGTTGAGACCGTCTTGGACTCCATCTTGAGCCAACTGGAGGAAACAGAGGCACGACGGACCCGTTTTGGGGATTTTCCGGGTGGCCGGCGGGACGGGCCGAAGCCCCAGGGGGAGTTCTTTTTGAAAAAAACCAAAACCAAAGCCGAGAGGGTCCAGCACGCCAGGCACCCCTGCGATGAATCGACAGGGGGCGGCGGATCGAAGACGCCTACGGCGAATCACCGCCGCCCCCTGCCTTTTTGGAAGCGCCTATGTGGCCGAACGTTGAGGCCAGACCTGCCAAGCTATCGGACCACGTGTTCCCCGAATCGGTTTGGAAAGCCTTCGGGGAACACGTGGGCATCTTGAAGGTCATCTTGGCCGTCTTGGAGGCCTCTTGGGCAAGCTTTGGGCGATCTTTGGGGCTTTTTGGGCCGTCTCGGGCCAGCTTCGAGCCAACTTCGGCCATCTTGGTGGGTTCCTGGCACGTCTGAAGCCGTCGGAAGCCGTTTGGGGGGCCTCTATGGGCCGACTTGGGGCCCGCTTGGAATGCTCCAGGGCCGTCTTGGAGGCCATCTTGGGCGTCTGGGAGGCCATCTTGGGCGTGTTGGAGGCCTCTTGGGCCCTCTTGGGGCCCTCTAGGGGCCATCTTGGAGGCCACTTGGGCCATCATGGGGCTCTCTTGGGGGCCTCTTGGGCGATCTTGGGGGCTTCTTGGGCCGTCTGAGCCGTCGGAGAGCCGAGGCCTTCGGATGATTTTGGCCTCTTCGGACTCTCCTGGAGGACCTCTTGGAGGCCTCTTGGGCCGTCTGGGAGGGCCTCTTGGGCCGTCTTGGGCCGTCTTGGACTCTCTTGGGCCGTTTTGGAGGCCGTCTTGGACCATCTCGGGCGGACTTGGAGGCCATCTTGGGCCATCTTCGCGTTTTTTTGAGGATGTCCCGAGCGAAACGGCCGTTTTTGGGCATTGACAGATGGATTTTGGGAAAATTGCGGGTGGCCGGCGGGACGGGCCGAAGCCCACTGGGGAGTTCTTTTAGAAAAAGAACCAAAACCAAAACGGAGAGGGTCCAGCACGCCAGGCACCCCTGCAAGCAGGGGGCGGCGGATCGAAGACGCCTACGGCGAATCACCGCCGCCCCCTGCCTTTTTGGAAGCGCCTATGTGGCCGAACGTTGAGGCCAGACCTGCCAAGCTATCGGACCACGTGTTCCCCGAATCGGTTTGGAAAGCCTTCGGGGAACACGTGGGCATCTTGAAGGTCATCTTGGCCGTCTTGGAGGCCTCTTGGGCAAGCTTTGGGCGATCTTTGGGGCTTTTTGGGCCGTCTCGGGCCAGCTTCGAGCCAACTTCGGCCATCTTGGTGGGTTCCTGGCACGTCTGAAGCCGTCGGAAGCCGTTTGGGGGGCCTCTATGGGCCGACTTGGGGCCCGCTTGGAATGCTCCAGGGCCGTCTTGGAGGCCATCTTGGGCGTCTGGGAGGCCATCTTGGGCGTGTTGGAGGCCTCTTGGGCCCTCTTGGGGCCCTCTAGGGGCCATCTTGGAGGCCACTTGGGCCATCATGGGGCTCTCTTGGGGGCCTCTTGGGCGATCTTGGGGGCTTCTTGGGCCGTCTTGAGCCGTCGGAGAGCCGAAAAGGCGCAAATGCCAAAATCCTTCAAAAACCAACGGAAAATCAATGATTTTGGCCTCTTCGGACTCTCCTGGAGGACCTCTTGGAGGCCTCTTGGGCCGTCTGGGAGGCCTCTGGGGGGCCTCTTGGGCCGTCTTGGGCCGTCTTGGACTCTCTTGGGCCGTTTTGGAGGCCGTCTTGGACCATCTCGGGCGGACTTGGAGGCCATCTTGGGCCATCTTCGCGTTTTTTTGAGGATGTCCCGAGCGAAACGGCCGTTTTTGGGCATTGACAGATGGGTTTTATGAGATTCACGGGTGGCCGGCGGGACGGGCCGAAGCCCACTGGGGAGTTCTTTTAGAAAAAGAACCAAAACCAAAACCTGAAACATCCAGCACGCCGTGCACCCCTGCAAGCAGGGGGCGGCGGATCTAATGTCTTTCGGCCCATCCCGCCGCCGTACCTGGGTTGTGGGTCAGAGTCCTCAGGGGTGCTTCTCGGGGTCTCTTCGGAGCGCTCTCGGGGGCCCCTTTGGGGCAGTTTTAAGGGCCAAGGAGCGTTTTGGGGGCTTCTTGTGGGCCTCTTGGGGCCTCTCGGGGCTGAGGGCTCGAATAATTTGTTCGGGTCTCCCGTCTGGGCCGTTTTGTGGCCCTCTTGGAGGCCTCTTCGGTTGTCTTGGGGCGATGTTGGGGGCTTCTTCGGCCGTCTTGGAGCGTCGGGAAGCTCAAAAGGCGAGGACCCGAACCTGAGGACGCACAATGTTTTTTGCCTCTCGGGGCTCTCTTCGGAGTGTTCTCGGAGGCCTCTTGGGGAGTCTTTGAGGACTATTGGGCCGTCTGGAGGAAATAT